CACAAATATGTATGTGCATTTGTTTCATGATCTCATTAACGATAGCCAAATGGAGGCCGCTTTAAGGCCGAAAATGCATTGAAATCGCACATTTTCACCATTCCGGACCCGTATCTCAGTTATGCATAGATGGATTTTGTTCAAATTTGGTACATACATTAAACATAATAGGACCTTGATGCACGTCTTTTTTTTTTCGGATCAAGTTCGAAATGGCCGACTGGCGGCCATTTTGTTAAAGAATTCAGTTCTGGACCCGTATCCAAGACATGTCTGGATTGATCAAGTTCAAACTTCACACACACATGGTACATCATGTCACAAATAGATATGTGCATTTGTTTCATGATCTGCTTAACAATAGCGGAATGATGGCCATTTTAAGGCCGAAAATGCATCAAAATCACGTATTTTCACAATTCCAGAACCGGATCTCAGTCATGCATGGATGGATTTTGTTCAGATTTAGCACAATGTGTTGTACATATGCAGGTGCATTTCGGTCATGATCTGCTTTGAATGTATATGTCACTCAAATATGAACGGAACGGGGACGTGTCATTGACAATGACTTGTTCTTTTGACAATTCTTTCACATTTTTATACCATTCAGCACTTTAAATGAGTATTAAATTTTATTCCTAATTTTCAGCATTTGGCAATTTATTTAATGAAATGTCATTGTAACATTTTGGGAATTACTTTGTTATGATTTGTGTCAGTATACATGCGGTTGTGGTGTTATATGTCACCTGAGTGTATTGATATGTAGAAAGTAGTGCATTTGATGTAGATCAAAATGGAGGAATTACTAATAAGTCAATCATTAAAGGTGTCTTTGTTTCTTTGATATGTTTTGTCTTCACAGTTATAATCTCAGACATAATAAAATGAAAACTATGTTTGAATTTGATACGATAAACTTTCTGAACTATATTTTCTTTTTTTCATTTCTAGGCTCAGATGACAATAACTTGAATTCTATATTTTATGAACATTTAACAAGATCTTTACAACATAGTTTATATGGTGATTTACAGTTAGGTAGATGGGGTACCGTATCACAGGGTGATTGTTATATACTGGCATCTGATTACCTCAATGCTCTCGTACATATCATAGAACTTGCCAACGGTCTTGTCACCTTTCAGTTAAGAGGATTAGAATTTAGAGGTAAGTTTATGATGTGCATCATGAATTCCATTTCATATAGAGTTTTTTCCTATAGCCATTCATCAGTGGTTTGCACCAGTGATGCTAGCTATACTGACAATACGTTTTAAAACACAAGTGGCCAAACAGATGCTATCTATGTTTTGTAAATGTGCTGAATCAGTGTGTTCATTTTGTGTTGACATACACAAGATGGAAAAAGTATTGAGGATGTATATTAATAAAAATTTATAAAATACTGTCTTCTATGAACACCCACATGTAAAAGAAACTAAAACACTATAGTACAAATATGATGCAACAGCTTGGACAGATTTTTATACAATGCAACTGTGTCACCAAAAAAACTTTCTGTTCATATACAAATAATGTGGGACAGTATAAATACAAATTAGCATTGGTTTGAACAACATATTTAGTTTATATTTTACTGTTGTCATGAAAATACAGAATTAAGTGGATATAGTTGTTATATTGACATGTGCCTATATCTCTAAACACAAAGCAAAGCTGATTGCTATGGAGTGTATTTCATGTCAATATTGTTCCTAATTATTAGTAATTGCTTCTAATTTAGTATAATGATACACATCCATTGTTTGTGTGTCAAATTTAATTCAAGTATTTTAACTTGTTTGATGTGTAGATGCTCTGAGATGATGTGCAGTACTGATTAGTTTTGATCCTGTGCATGCTAATTACCGGTACCTAATTTTGCATATTAATTTGCCAATTCTAAGCATTTTCACTTTGACTCAAGAACCATTAAACAGATTTCAATAAAACTTGGTACATACATATGTAGATGCCTAAGGATAAGCCATATACATGTTCAGTTTAGAGTTAAATATTGTGCTTACTAATTACCTAATTTGCATAAATTAACCAATTTATAGGTGCTCCACAGATATCATGAGTACCACTGATCAAATTTTAATGAAACTAGGTACATAGAAGATTTTAAATAATCCACAGATCTGATTACCGTACTTAAGGTTGAAATCCATGCATATTAATTACTTGTGATTAGTTTCATATCTGTTTGTAATGTACTAAGTACTGTTGCAGATATGGACATGCTATAATTGTGTTGTCTGACAAGATACGTGTATATGACCAAAATATCAAGGCATCATATATGGTCATTATTTCATTAAATATTTATAATTGTTAAACCATAGCTACTTGGAACCACCCTCATCATTGCCTGCAGTTATATTTTTCAATACTGTATTTCCTTTATTATAAGCATATGTGCTTACTGTGAACAGAAATGACAAAGTCTATGGTCAAAATAAGACATATTTTAATGATTTTCAATTCAATAAACCCATTTTTTTACTCCCGTGTGCGAAGCACAAAAGGGAGTCTTTGCAGTTACCCTGTCTGTATGTCTGTATGTCTGTATGTATGTATGTATGTCACTTTTTTTGTTCCACCGTTATCTCAGGAACCACTAATCAAATTTTGGTGAAACTTGGTACATAGATACTCTGGGATAATGCGCAGAGTTGATTAGGTTTTGGTAAAAATCTATGAATATTAATTACCTAATTTGCATGATAATTAGCTGATTT